TTGTCAGCTCGTGAAAGCTACGCCACGGCTTTTACATGTTATACAGTTAACCCTGTTTATAACGGAATAATAATGAACCGTCTCAGACAGGTTTCTGAATAATTCAGGTGCACATTTATGGATGAAACAGAGAATACGTTTTCATGAAGAACGCACAGATTTTGTGGTCCCTTGGAATATATTGCAACAAAATCATAGACCTGGCGGTTGCAATAAATATCTAACTTTCGATTTTATGGCTAAACATTGAAACTAAACGTGCGAAGTTTTGTACGGAAGTTGATCTAAGCCGTACCTACACGTTCTGTGTGGATATAGCGTGTGCGTGTCCTTTCTTTGGCCTAATTCCTCACAAAAGTGACCATGAATTTATGTCAGTTGCAGTAATCGTCTTATCGAAGTGTCACATAAAACAAGGTAAACGATAGGTTAAGTGAGGATTCAAGGAGACGTGATTCTCTCATCACGTGTCTTGTCTGAAGCTTATCATATAGGCCAACTTGACGAGGCTTCACTTCTGTTTTTGAGCATCCCTGGGTGTTATGAGGAATTCTTGATTTTTTGCAGGTTTCTTTTCACACATTCTTTCCGCTGTTTGGTTCTCTTAAACAATTTGTGTAAATTATATTTCATACCTTTTGTTCAAGTGAACGGACAGTGAAAAAATGAAGTGTGTGAAAAGTGACGTACAGAAAATCAAGAAGGCTTCACTTTCTCTTCCTTGGTGTAGTTATTATAACACTTCTACATGGCTGTCTTCAGGGTTCTAGCTCCGTGTAGTCTGGTTGAAGTTTACCAATGTTTCAGAGGTCCTCGTATTCACCATCTGCTCTAACGGGCTTATGTGGTTTGTCTCTGTCCTGATGAAAGACAGAAAACAACTTATCAGTAAAATACTATAGTACATAAACTGGCTGTTGGCCCATCCGCACCTGACCCTACCTCTGACCTCATATACATACCTCCACTTCCCAGCATCGCCATTTCAGCCCTGATGATGGAAGCTGTATGTTTTTCCGAAATGTTGGTATCTGTCTGCGAATGTATACGGCGTCAAAACTTAGAAGAATTATATTGTCATACTTACTACCGTGAGAACCTAAAATCTCTTAGGTACACGAAACTTATATTTGGCATGTCAGTAACGGAGAGAATTTTTGGGGTTGGTTTCCCGTTACGGGCGGTATTTGTCTGTATCCACAGAAGTTCTGAGACCTTTATATTAACCGGAAGTCGATAATTATTCCCAGCATGAGGCCGATCATTGACCTTCAACTACTGTCGATGTTGGACTTCGTGGAGGTTTACCTTGGCTCTTCATACGCCTCTACAATCTGACGCATATGCACGGGGAGAACTTAGCGTGGTCTCTCATATGCATCTCATTTAAATGTAGCAAAGATTTCAGTAACAAAATGGCGTGGTTTCTTCGTTATTTTTCGCATGTGAGTAGATTTCGTCAAGGATAAATCGGTTCCTTTCACGCCGTTGTGTGGAAGGAACCACGATCTCTAGAAGAATGCGTTCTGCCATGTTGCAAGAAGAGTTCTGTGTACTTAGTTTATTTTGCACAAACCATGGTGCGACGCCAGTCGTAATTCATGGTCACAACTCCAAGCGGCGCAATACAACTGCAACAGAACTGTGTCAAAACAGCTGAGTTTGGCAAACTGCCTGCCGAGCCCCCAAATGAAAGGGCGTGTTTGGAATTTGGGTCGTTAGTACAGATCGCTGATATCGTACGCGTCATCTAGAGAATGGACATACACAAACTGAGTATCGGGCAGAAGGAGATCTTGTTCACAATCAGCCGACGACTGTAACAAAAGACCTGTGAAATTCTGAATGCTACAGTTAATTACCACAATCTTACTTATTAGAACTGGCGAATGAAAATAGCTGGTGCAACAGTTTTGCTGGCGTTACAACCAAGGTGCCTCCTCATTTACAGCATTACGGCTGTCGAGTTGATAAACAAAGGTGAATATGGCCCAGGGTCTTTAAAATGCTGAGAATCCCTTGTCTAAGTGGTAATGAACCTCTGGCTTTTTTAAAAGTAGAGCTTAGGGCTGAATAAATATCAGCTATTCTAGGAGAAAGACCTGCCAGCGTGGTATTGGTGTTGGGTCTTCCGAATGGTCAGTGGTAAAGACAGTATCTTGACGATAAGATGTCTCAAAACTTGAACACATTAAACCAATGACTTGTAGGTTACAGTCATGTGTTTACTTTCTTGAAACGTAGACAATGTGAGACTCATCACTATATAATAATGATGAGGTAGGCCCATGATTTAGTATTCGGGATCTCGGATCTAAGAATGCTTCAACTTCTTTCATTCGTATTTGGTACTAAGTTTTCATTCTACGCACGAGGAAGTGTTTACAAATGTACAGTAGCCCATCTACTTTACATGAAAGGTGGAAAATGTAATGGGAGTTCCTCTAAAACAGATAGGCCTGAACGATTTGTTTAACTTCTGTCACTCAATACAGAGTGAAGTTGGAAAGACGTGGTGGGTGAGATGCTTGAAGGTTCTCACAGCGGTCAAGGTGTGGATGTTGATATCCTGGGCTGAAGACGGAGGCATTGCTTTGGCATCTACCTATCATTCCTCACAGCATTACAACCCAGAAGATCAACACCGGCAATATCACAGATAATTTTGTCGAGAAATTAATACGTAGTATGTTGACACATTTTTCTTTGTCTTGACTCATGTGACGAACATAGGAAACTTTGTGTAACGTTTATTTAGTTGTTTTTGGGTGATAACAGTAACTACGAACAACAGGTTTTTTCGCCTGTCTGCGTATGTCTTTTTCTAATTTCTGTCTCTGTCACTAGAAGAAAGGTGACCAAGCAAAGTGTGGGAGATGCCGATCCATTAGTATTTGAGGAATGTGCTTATCTGAAAGTCGATGTGGAATGACGGATTTGCATATTAATGACCATCGTAATTTCGTTTCTCGTTTAGCCGTGCAATACGAGGACTTTCGACTTCAGGGTGGGAATATGTAATGTGAAATACCCTGTTATTCCTTGTAAAGTTTAAACCTGTACTTAACAAAGCTCTCTTCAGAATGGTGCTTTTGTAAGGGCTCGGCAGGTGCATCCGCACGCAATACCTGGTTCTGACCTGGTCCTTTCAGGTAGCATTGTATTCCACACTGACCTTCAACAACTAACTTTACTTATGTGTTACCGTCATGGTGACTACAGATGATCTGCTAGAACTGAAGATAGAATGCGTGGACACTGAATAATTTAATACGTACTTATAAGAAAATAATTGAAGATGGCTGTCTTCTGGGTTGTTGCGCCGTGGAAAACCTCAATTCCTGCAGGAAAATAATTGTTAATATTCCACTAATTTATTTGTTTCGTATATCGGACATAATATGCTATATCATATACGTAGGTTTCTTGTCGAATTTGATTTGCTGTGCACAGTCGTAGTGTTTTCCAGGTTGTCATATTCACTTCGAGTAATTAAGAAAAATGCGAGTAACGTGAGGTGGATGTAGGTCAGTTGAAGGGAAAGCACTGGGGATTAAAAATGCACAAATCTTAACCAAACTAAATCTTGAGAAGATTTTCTCTTTTCAGCGGTTTTGAATCCTTGTAGTTCACTGTTTCCTACATTGTATTCGGATCCGGATAGCTCATTCTGTTTAATAACTAGGTTGTCTCTGTCACAATGTCTGGGTTCTACTCAGCCTCTTTTCCAGTGGGTTGCCAGTGTTCGTTGGTGATAGACCTGCCGGGATGTGAAGCTGGCCACTTACCTCTATCTTACGCCGAGGTAAAGAATGCGTGGAGCTATAACTCCACTCCGTTACATGTACGCGTGTCCTGGTGTTTACTTAAGCACCATGGACAATTTTACCGTCTTACATAACCTACTAAAATCCCAACACAGAAAAACTAATTTTTGAGCCCATGTACGCCCTAAATGTTATTCTGGCGTAATACGCGTCACTTAAAAACGAATTTCGAATTATCCATTTGACGTGCGAATGAGAGAGTAGATAAAAATGGAGTAGGAGCTTAGTGAGACACTACGTTTTACGAGGAAGCAGATAAATAACTTTATAGTGTAAAGGTTCCCTGGCAGTTCTAGCTCGTTCTTCTGGTATAGATACGTTGAAGTCAAGGCAAAGCGTTCAGAAGTGGAAAAGGCAGAGAGATACAGATGCTCTTAAAAGAAAATTCAGTTCGCGCCTCAAAGAAAATACATCGCATCCCCATGTATCCGACACTGACTTCCCAATTAATTTCCTTCTCGTCACATTTAATTCATAGGACATTATTTATCGTTAGATCTTAATTACATTAATCAATGGCGGCGAAAGGGTTGGGCAAAGTGGTAGACGACCCAGGGCCTCACGCCTGTACTTTTATATTTTGGAATTGCCCTTTTTCATACATTGTTGTCGTGGTTTGCCTTTTATATGTACTTTAGCTGAGACCGACAACAATGAAGAAGAAATAAGGGAGTTTTCTATAAAAACCCATGGAAGAAGCGACAGGTTTTTTTAAATGTCTTCAATAAATTCTGTTAATTCACGTGTATTTTTTTTCAAGGGGCTTCGCCGTCATTGGCATTAATGTTTGATGTAAAAATTTTATGAAATAATTAGTTTGAAAATTCAATTCAGCGTACCATCGACATCAGACAATGAAGAATGGACTGTTTTCATTGATTTAATTTGTTTTAGAACGCAGACCTTACCTTGCAAAATAATTTTTTTGAAAATTAACATTCTTTTCAAAACATAAACTAAGAAGACTAGTAATGTCACAAAAACTGCAGAGGAGACACCGGCAATTACTTTGCAACACATTTTGATTGATCTATTCAAAGTAAATTAGATCAACAGATCAATACAGTGAACCAATCACAAACCCCGATACATATTGTTGCGCATGCGTAGTGGTGAGCGTCTCCCGCACCTGACAACGACGGCAGCAAAGTGGATGCTTCTTGGCTAGTTCGATTAAATAGCGTGCGCAGAGAAGCGCTTGAACAGTTTGTCTGCGTCCAGGGTAGTAGAAGTGCGGGGTATAGCCAGTGTCAGTAGTTGCTGACTGCTGGTGTTTCTGCTGCGTTGTTCAGTAGAATAATCATGGTTGATATATAAAATTGGACAGAAGTGTCTCACGGTGCTTTGGCGCCTCGTGAAGACTTAGGAAGATCAAGAAAAGGAAATCACCATCTTTTCCGTGTAATACTTTAACGTCCCACCATCTTCGTCTTAGGTGAAGGACTTGGGTTGTTAACCCTCTGAGAGCGTTTCAGATCTTCGGAAGAAGCCTCTTCGTCAAGAAATTTTGAGTGTCGAGAACTTTTGGAACAAAGAAAATCTACCAAAATGCCTAAGAGTTCCACTAGTTTTTACACCAGCAACATGTCGCTGGCAAGTTTGGATCGAGCCAAAGATTTCGTTAAAGGCTCGTTGAAAGCTTTGAACATCGGCAGTTCTATGGAACATCGGATGGAATGCGAGCAGCCGATTTTAGGAACTTCAGCAAGTAATACGTCTGTTAATGGAGAGGTAAGCGGCTCCATTTTTAGTTACTGGTGATTATTATTGCATCGTCGTACTGATTGCCAGATGCCCGTTGTTAATTGTGAATTTAATTAATGTAATTGCAAATCGTTTTTCGAGATTTCAAATATTTGATTGTGGTAACACGTTTGTAAATTAGATTTAATCGTTCGCTTTTTTATTTAGAGATGTCAGATTACGCATTTGTTGAAATATAACGCATACAAGTATCATGAGAATGGAATGTTAACCGCTACTGGAGCTACAATTGTACACATACGTACACTTTTATCTTTAAGAACTTGTTTCGTGTGAATTCGTTTTAAGTTGTAGGATTTGAGATTTCACGAAAATGGCTGTCTTCTGGCAGAAGGTAGCCATTTTAGTTAAAATTTATCCACTTGGAAAGCCCGAACTTTCTAGTAAAACTGTATATGCTGTTTTTATTGAGGGTTGAGTCTGTGGTGCCAGGGGGGGGGGGACCCCCTCCCGTACCGTGTGCTGTTGTGTTGCTATCTCTGTTTTCCTCCATGACTCATTATTTTTGTTTTAAATCACTGACATCCAGTTCTGAGTGAAGGGAGTTGTTTTGTCGTTTCTGATGGCAATATGGCAAAGTACTGACCGAAATTTATGTAGTTAAAATCATATTAGAACTTACTGGGTGTCTAATGCATGATATATGTAAATACATAATGTTATGCAATCATAAAGGATTTAATTTGTAGTACTTTGGACATTGCTAATTTTGAATAAGTGAATGCATTAATTTGCATATTATTTATTGCGCAGTTGCCATATATTAGGCCACTGGCATAATTATAATGAAGTCTCATATCGAGCAGGACCTTGTCCCGTGTAAAGTATATGAGCAGTAATTGCACGAAAATTGCATTTCCACTTCGTTAAAGGACGCCTGCTTTCACCACACACGTTCACCCATTAAAATCAGTGTTCAGTTTTCGGACAGGATTTTTATATATGCAACAAAAACAAGTTTCATATCGAAGCTAGCAACTATTTCACAGCCTCTCTAAAAAATTACACGTTACTAAAAGTTTGCGGTTCAATGAATCGTCGAACACCACGTGGGCTACTTCCCCCCCACAGCTTTTGCATGAGGTCAGGCATTGCTGGAGCCTGACGCTTGGCATGCTTACGAAGCATCTCGCCATTTGGATCTAAAAAGAATCGAATATATTTCAGTTTATAGATCACAAATATGACCGTAGTTTTGAGCCGATTATTATTATTGCTAGAATTCTGCAGGGCGTTGTCCTTGGATGAGTGGGAGGTGGTGTAAATGAATCAATATATAAAGTAAATTAATTAAAACCCAAAAAAAGAGCTGACATTCACACATATGTACAAGATGGCCGTGGAAAGTTTTTACTGGGCGATTTGCATCTGACATTTTGAAACAATAAAGAGGAATAGCGCAAAAATAACGCAGGGAACATACGTCCTTTTGAAATACATTTCGAAAGGAGGCAGCGAAACAACGAAATGTGTGCTAAATGTGCTCCATTTGGACGCTAGTTTCAATGTTTCCAGTATTGATTTATTGCGTCATTCTTGGAACTGTACGTGCATGTTCTTGCAGCAGCAGTAGTACACCTTTCGTTTTACAGCATAGTCAGTCTGCAAGCAAAATAACCATCACCAAACTGCTTTTAATGAAGTTATGGCCTCTTTTACTACCAAGACAAAGACAGGTAATAAGACAGTGGTCCAGCCTCAGTAATTTTGCATTTTACAAGTAACAGTCCACAAATGTAATTAATATTAGCAGATCCAAATACCTTTGTTGTTTAGACTACTAGGTTTCTGGACCTTGTCCATCGTGTGATGTATAATTATACAATGTTTCGATGACTGGATCTGCCCTCGTCAGAATGCACTGATTCTAACAGACCCCATAGGGTAGGCATTCCTCCCCTTTACCACACCAGAAGATGTGGACAGATCCAGTCCTTCAAAGGTGTAATTTTATATTGGACGATGAACAAGGTCCAGAAACCCAACACTCCAAATTGTGTTATACCATTGTTAGAACCCTTCAAAATGCCTTTGTTGGTGCAAAAGCCAAGTCCTTTATATTGTATTAAAATTGGTTCATCGTAACTCCCATACATGAAAGCATATTCATCCTTGCTTAGACACATGGTCTTCTAAGGATCTGGGGATTACAACACAACTTTGCCCCTTTCCTGTCTGAGAGATGCAGGAACTGGCCCCAAAAATCTGTGCCTTCTTTCAGTGCCAGTCATTAAATTTTGGGAAAGAGAGAGGAGAAAAAGTATGTGTGTCCAACTAAAAATTTATAGTGCAAAAGGAAACAAAATTGATGAAAAGTACTAATTATATAAAGTAAATTCTCCATCTGGGAAAATAAGTGGTCTGCTGAAATATTGCCAAGTTAGCTGAGGCCATAGATGATAATTACTTTCTTTAGAAATACCAGAACCATGCCTCAGACTACTCTAAAAGAATATATGACATGAAATATGTAACCCATATCTTACGGTATAATTTTTATTTTATGTAGGATAATATTTAGTTGTAATTTTGTGTGGTGACAGTGATGAACCTTCAGATTTCACAGTAACAGAATTTCTTATGCAGTGGAAACTAACAGCTCAAGGAATATTACTACCTGGGAGTTGTTTGGTTAGGAGCACAGATAATACCAGAGTTCCTATTACAGAATCATTGTTGGACACTTGTTAATATCTACTCTGTGTTTTGTACACCATGTAAAGAACACGCATTATCCTGAAGCAATCTCAGTTGCTTCTGAAATGTAGTTAAGTAAGATTGGTTTTTTGTCATGAATCCTTGTTCAAGTCCCACAATTACCGTATGGACTAAGCAAACAGCTTGTGTTTTGTTTTAGCAGTTGCAAGGCTGGACACCTCTGTTGGTGCTGACTGGGGTGGCTACAACTCTAGGTTCTTCCATTCCCGTTGGCTACAACATCGGTGTGATGAACACTCCAGCACATGTAAGGCATTATTAATGTTGTACAATGATGATAAAGTATGGCAAAAAGGAAAGCTGGTTGTAATATCAAGATCGTTTACATAAGAACTGGCTGTTCTGTTCCACAGTTCTTGCTATTTGGACTACTTGTAGTTACCAGAAGGTAAACTTGTTCCTGTTGAAGTTTTTAAGAACACAATTGGAAATCACAGTAACCTGTTATATCCACTAAATGTATTTTACTCATGATAAACTGGTTTTCAGGTGTGTGCTAGAATATCTAGTAATGTGAAGGGTTAATAGTACTGCAATATAGATAGGGTGAAATAAATTCTCTATTTTGTAAGGTGGAAAGAAACCATTTCTGGATTGTTTACTGTGAACAAACATTTTATCTTAATTTTGCATAATTCTGTGTATGTGCATGCACACGTTTTAATGTTTGTCAATAAATGCTGTGTCCAGATAATCCGTGATTTCTGCAATGGAACAGTGGCGGATCACTATGGAATTAGTATGGGTCCGTCCCAGTTGAACATCCTGTGGTCCATCATTGTGTCAATCTTCCTAGTAGGTGGAGTGACTGGTTCACTGAGTGGCGGCTGGGTGGCTGATCGCTTTGGAAGGTAATGATCATACCTGTAACGTGAGGGGTGTTATTTAGTGGACAGCCAAGTTTATTTCTGGCAGGTTGAGAGATTTTCTATCACCAGGTTTAGGCTGACTGTGGGGCCCTTGCAGCCTCCTCTCATATGGGTACAGTGGCTGCAACATGACTCCAGGCCTGTATGGTTGTTACAAATACACACATGGGAGGGATGGGACAACCACAAAGTGATGGCACATATGGAGAGATTACCCACTCCTCTGTCAGATGTGAAATTATTATGTTCAGGCTGTAGATGTAGGGGGTTAAGGTATGTGCCTACATCACATTGGTAAACCAAAGTTCCTTTGCTTCACAAAGTACAGTGTAGTGTGTGGTAGCTCAGTCAGTACGGTGACTGACAACAGGCTGGATGATTGGGGTTCGAGTTGATCCACAATGGGCAGAGGATTTTCTTCTAACCTCTATGTCCAGACTGGCTCTGGGGGTCCTTATCCCAGGGGTAAGATGCTGCTGGGGCATGACACTGACCACTTACCCAATATAGTGCCATGGCTGAGAATGAGTAGGAGCTGTATCATCTGTCCCCCTGAGTGCCTACATAGTGCATAGCAGAATGGCTTTACTTTTTTTATAAGTACTTTGTGTTCAGTATTAGGGGTAACTATTTCTTGTGTGTTATTTTCACCAGGAAAGGAGCTGTGATAATTAACAACGTTCTTGGTGTTTTGGCAGCCATCTTGTTTGTAAGCTCACGACATGCAGGCTCGGTGGAGATGCTTCTTCTAGCTCGTCTCATTGTTGGTCTCTCCTCTGGTTAGTATTCAATTGCTCTGTAATCCTGGGTGTATGCAGTTCCACAGTTTAGATGTTTTAAGATGTGCTCTGTCTTCTAGGTCTTGTCACGAGTACCATCCCAATGTATCTGACCGAGATAGCTCCTGTTAGCATTCGTGGGGCCATGGGTGTTTTGTGCCCGCTTGGGATCACTGTTGGAGTGCTAGTTGCCCAGATCTTGGGGCTTAGGAGTGTACTAGGTGAGTATTTCTTAAAATTGTATTTGTAATAAAACAGCATTGCATACATATTTTATTAAAATTAGCATTTTGTGCCCATGGTTTTCAGTTCTTGTGCTTCATTTTGCTACATACAGCTAGTGTGGAGTAATATAACATGCAAGGAAACTGCAGTAAACAGTCCTGACCCCCCCCCCCCCCCCCCCCCAGGGCAAGAATAGAATGTAAAGTTCATAGTAATATATATTGATGTTTTAGCATACTGTCTAGCTAATTTTTGTCTGTCATGCTAGAGTTGTTACATTTCATGGTGGTGTATTGTAATTATCTGGGTTCTGGCATATTCAGAACTCCCTGTTATAGTGTGTGCATATGGTGAGATAATCGTCTTTATGTGTGGGTGAGATCACTTGCAAGAAATGTAGCCATATTCAGAATAATTTGAATAAAATGGTACATATTCATATTCTTATTCATGGATATTCTCACTTTAAACCCAGATTAAGCGCCAAAAAGATGTCTGTGGCTCAAATATTAATTATATAATTTTTTACTTGTCTGAAACTCTTTCCTATTTTATGTATAGCGGGGGGGATGAATGTTAAATTTAATACAGGCTTGTGAAATGGAGTTACATTTATCATTGGCCGATAACACTGAAACTTATATTTTGTTACATTTTTCTGCCAAGAGAAATTTAGGCAGAAATTGACAAAAGATTCATGTGTTGAAAGCCAAGTCATACACGATTAAAGAATAAATGCCTAAAAGTATAACACTGATGTAATTGAAAGCATGAATTGATTTCTTCATGTAAAATAAGTTTTGTAATATGTGAATGTTCATATTGGGTATACAAAACAAATAGTGTTAAAAATTGTGTAATGATGCGTGTCTTGATTTTTATTTCTTGGTTTTGAATTTTTCAGAAATATTCATTTGACATTTGCATAATTGATAGAATGGAAGATTCATAAACAAGAAATAGTGTTATGCTGAATGTTACATTTGTCATTAGAATTCATATTTAAGTATTCAAACAATCCCCCCCCCCTTTCTCCCTTCTGAATACAATCTGAAGGTTATATGGGTATACTAGTATGTTTGCCACTGATTCAAAAAATGATTTTCATGGTTACTTGTTTGTGCTGTTGCAGGGCAAGATGAAACTTGGCACTATCTGCTGGGTCTGTTTGCTCTTCTTACCCTTTTGTCTGCGGTGGCTCTTCCATTCCTTCCTGAGAGCCCAAAATACTTATACATCGTATGTGGTCAGGAGGAAAGGGGGATCAAGGGTATGTAATCACCACAAAAAGTTTTTAATGTCGTTGGATGCATCAGATATTGTCAGGAACTGCTCACGTCTGACCAGTTTTATTACACTTGGTTCTAAACATGCTGCATGTAGCCTTGCACATTATCAAAAACAAACCCCCTTTTACAGGTGAAGTTAAAATTACTGTGTTTTAAGCTTTGACATTTTAAGTTGTGGAAATGATAAATCAACTGAAATCATAGTCTGAAATATAACTTGGTTGTGTTTTTTAAATGCATTGCATATTTATGTTACATTTTAATGTATAAAAATATGTTATGCTGATTGTTTGCAGTTATAAAGTGCAGCAGATTAGTTGATTTTCAAATTTGTACATCAGTTCGGTTTTGGTAATATATATATCCTATCGAATTATTTCATAAGATAAAATGTCTACAGCTTGTTGCATGCTACATAAGTGATGTAGAACAAATGTGTAATATTCTGATTTTGTGTTCATGTGTGTGAATTAAATTATCAAGGTATTTTCCAGATTGTCACCACCTCTCCTCTGCTAAGTGTCTACATGGCATGTAGCGCGACAGCTTTACTTATTTGTAATATGTGTGCTTCATTGTTGGGATGTGCAGGTGTATTGCATTCAGAAAAGTGACATAAGCCCAGATTAATAATACACATTTGTTCTATACTTCAGATCACTATAGGTAGAAGAAAATTATTTATATTTGGTACATTCTCTGTTGGTGTTTTCCTATTTGTAATTCCATCAACTGATCCCAGCATGTGGAAATTAATACATGCAATTCTCTTTATTGATACTGTGCCTTGTCCATTAACTTTTTACCATTCATAAAGAAATTCACTTCCGCTTTCCATTAGTTACTTATCTCCTGTTGAAATAAATTTATGTAAGTCAGATAACTATTGTTTAGTGGTATTTTTCTCACAATTGCGTGCTTTTTATAACTAGTTTAATGACCATTCATGCAACTTATTAATTTCAGTAGCATAGGCAGTGGGACTTAAATTTTCTGATACTTAGCATAGACCTTCATTATTATATACAGTAAAATATCAGTATAATGAACATTTTGGATTGACAAATTATATTTGTTATAATAAAAGACAAAAACAATTAATAATGAGAGTCACTGCTTTAGAAAGGTCAGTACATTTTTTTAAATATGTGCACATCTCATGTTTGCCATTGGACATGCACGTATGTGCACACGAGCCACTTTTTCATTTGCCATTTCATGTCATGCCACTTAATGGCAACTGGAGTCTCTTGCACTTCATCTGATTTACCACTTCGATTTTTTATTATCACCAATTTCACTGTCCCAGTTACTAGATTCTACTTATGAAAGATTTTCATCCACTCTCTCCAAAATTGACACAATATTATCATTTTTCACTTTTCCTGTGCGGTATTATGTACTGTGTTAATCATGGAAGTTGCATTTTCCTGTTCTGACATTTGCGTATTCCAACAGCACAGGATGAGCCTTTGAGCTATCACTGGTGACTAAAATAATTCCTCATATAATTTAAAATATTTTCCAAACAGTAATAGATTATGTACAGATTGTAGCTGTATGGAGGTGTAGAGAAAAGTAAATGGAAAGGTTTGAATTGCAGACCAAGAGATGTGTTCCAAGTGATGAGTGGTCAGGATTTCCAGTGTAACGGTACAGAGTTGAGTGTTCCACTATCCAGAAATGTTTGAATGGTTGACTGCGATCTGATTATTCAATTGCTTTATGTTTTAAATATCAACATTTTGTTTTGCTGTGGGTTTTCCAGCATTGTTTGTTTCAATACAGGTAGGGTGGCTTGAGAGGTTTCATAAACATGTTTTAGTTCTATGTTCTGTATGCATTATTGCACTTATAATATCGACCCTTTAAGTGAAATGATGGTATTGTTCAGAGTTTGTTGAGAAATCGTTTATCTTGACATCAACACAAATCATTTGTGAGTATATCTTGTGTTTTATTTAGTCTCACTTAAAGGGTTGTGAAAGAGCAATATGAGGTTTCAGTATGCAGACCCAATGATGTGATCAATGGCATAAATCTGTACTTCCTGTGAACCTTAAGTCCTATGCTTCAACTACAACAATTATTTTTTTGTTTTGTGGTTACAGTGTTTGACTGATTACTGCCTGCATATGAAAGGAACAAAATGGTTCATCTCTTTTACTAGAGTTTGGCAGTTTTTTTGTTGTTTTTCATGTTATAATTCAGTATAAAGAGTGCCATTTGCTTAATGTGCACTGAGAAAAATTAGTAATCTGCTCTTACAGCTTCTGTCAATCACAAAACATTGTTATGGATTTAAGTATAAGAACAGAACTTTACCTGTCATAGTTTGTTATTTTGAAAGCATTGGATTACTAGTTGTGTGTGTGGTTATTTTCATATGTATCGAGAATTCTTGCCCATCATTGTTTGTTTTCTACACAAACCACCTAGGCTGTTGGTGTAGGTAAGTGCATGATATCATAGCCCTTTGGACTTCAATTTTTGACTTGGTGAGCTTCACAGGCATTGCAAAGCTGTATATGAATGCAGGAACAGATGAATGAATGCTTCTGAAAGGTGAATGAAAATGCAGTATCTTATTGCATGTCCCAGTGTAAGGAATGATGTTCAGATTCTATTTCAAGTAGCTTGCATTTTTAAATCTATCCTGCATAAAAAACAATACATGCTTTAATTAATATTTTCATATATACAGAAGATGGATAATTATTACATTCTTTACCATGGGATGTGTAATACTATGAAAGCCCTGTAATAGATTAATAGTTTGGTTGACATTGGTGTAGTTGTTTAAACTTGGGAGTTAATTTTATTTCATCTTGAAGTAGACTTTTATATTCAGAGCTAAATAATTTAAAGGAAATGATTTTGTAAATTTTATTAACTGTAACTAGGTACATAACTTGTAAGTTTTCGTTCTAACAAAAGAAGGTTATGAAAATTGTAACTCTGCTTTTGACCCACAATGCAATAGGAAGGTTCTTTGAATTTGAAACTTTTTTTGTCACATGTCTTATGGAAGACAAAGTTTTAACATGCTTATAGTTCTCTGAACCGCAGTTTTCCATGGAAGAGTCAGTTTTATTCAAATCTGATTATTTCTTTCTTATAGGAACTCTCATATGTAAAGGTGGGGTTTCTTTTACTATGTAAGAAATCCCAGTGTTGTTTGAAATTGTTGATAGATGTAATTGTAATCATGTTACTTTCAAAATAGTGAATTTTATAAACTTGAACTGCTACACCACTGTAGGACAGCCGTATATACAGCAGGGTATAATAGAAAGTTACTGGAAAATGTTGATAGCAGTAAGCAAATGGTATGACATGCTCTAACTTAATTTGTGTAAGGTCTGTGTTGTGGTGGACTGGCAGTCTGGTTAGTAAGTGGCCTCTTTAAATTTATTATCTGCTCACAGTGACTGTAAGTTTGGTGATTGGTATGTAAATTTAATATTTTACGGCATTGATGTAACAAAGTAAAATATCTACAGTTGGTCTGTCATTTAGGTACACTAATAATAATAATAGGAGGAAGACAATTGTCAGCTGTTTTGTGTATCAAAAGTGTCACATGTAACATCCATATGACATAATGAATCTCAATTAACATATACCTTTCCAATATTTTTAAAATGGACATGTCTAAGTGCTGTGTTATTGAAGTAAATAGGTGGTGATGGTTGCAAGCATTTATGCTGAATGGTATAGGAAGCAAGTAGTGTCATTCTCTGGCCTTCATATCTCTGGAGGACTGCAAGAGGTTGGGAGGAAAGAGTATCTGTCATAACCAATTAATATTAAATTGAATGAGCAAGTGATCAGTTATGCAGTATTTCTTTCAAAACTATTATGGAGATAAATTTTCTTATAACGAGCACAAAAAGGGGGAGGAAACAAGGGATCGTTCCAAATTTGACAATCTATTGCATATTAAGGATTAACCTTGTATTTGTCTCTATTTCCACTGCCAGTACACTACTAAGGTTATGGTTTCTGTTTGACTTCCTTGTTTTGAGCACTTGTCTGCCAGCATTAAACACAGGAAACTACAATTAAAGGGTAGCTTTACAAATTTTTAATGTCCATGCAAGCAAGTTTGATGAAGTAGCCTCAGAAATTTGTTATCCTAACTTCTGATGTTTAGTCTTCGTTTAAAAATAGGACATTATTGATATTGATTAATGGTATTATTTGTAATGTAATAAGTCACTTTGCCAATGTTTTCTGATATTGCTAAAGTGATACTGGTCTTTTGCAAATGTTATAAATAATGCTCTGCCCTTTGCTGTTTTAGGCTATTTGCACTATGCAATGAAATGTTTATTTCCAAACAATATTAAAATAGTTTGCTTGCTTATAGAACTTACATAACTAAACATCAGTGACTTTCTGTTATGTTGAGAGAAAACATTATGTAAACATTGCTTTACTGGTACATTCTGGCATTAAGATAGCAGTCATGTTCAGCAACTTACGTGCATCCACTTGCTTGCAATGTT